ATATTTAAAAATGAGTAAAATTCTAAAAAGTATACAGTTTTATTTTCATGAACAATTCGAAATTCGAATTCAATAAACTTTTTTGTGGCCAGCATTCTAAAAGAAAAGTTTTTACTGTGTGACAATACTTAAGACCTGACTAGGTATAATATGCATGTATATATATATATATATATATATATATATATATATATATATATATATATATAAATATTATATATTACGAAAAAATATATAATTCAATATAATATATTTTTAATGCAGCCAGCAACTAGCACTGCGCCACCGAACTCAACAGCGCCTATTTTAGATGACCTGACCAGCAGTGTCAAGTCGGGGCGGATCGCTAGTATTAAATAAATGTGGCATGTTGAATTACACAATAACATTTTGGAGATAAACACGAACGTGATGTCAAGGTCTACAATTTAAATAAATTTAACAGGTGTGTAATTTTATTAATGAACTCTTTAATAGAATGCGATTATGGCAAATTCATACAATTTTGAATTTTTTATCGGTTTATTAAAATTAAAATTCGTAAATCATGAGCTACGATGAATATGACCACAACTCCAGATTTACCATTTCCGGTTTTCCTAACGTATAACCATCTTTTGTAATATAGCTCTGACGGACAGATTGATCTAATGTATCACAACAGCATTACTTATAGAGTTCTTTACCGAATTAGTCACAAATTAGGCAGTAAATTCTTTCTTCTATATTTGGAAAGAACTTTATTTTTTTACTTTTTTATGTTAGTGGAGAGTTATAAAATAATCATGAAGAGAAGAAACCCATAGAAGTCCACTACTGGATTCGGACTTTTAACGATATCCCGTTAATCCCGATAATCGTCACGCTTATTAATAAGACAGGCAGATTAATAATCTTCTGACGTCTGCGTCTTGAACTCTCGACGCTAATTCCCATCGCCGGTAGAAGATAGCTATACAACCATTATCTCAATTTTTATCGTTATATCTCTCTTGTATTTCTCTAAATCACCTCTTGCGACATTCACAAGATAAAATGGATGAAAAATGAATAGACCGACGATATCAGACGTGCGAAATGTCTGGTACAGTGCTGCCAAGCGTGACGATACAAACTTATCCTCCCTACAACTGTAGAGACTAATGCCCAATAATGCAGCTTTTTATGCACTGATCAAGAAGAAAATACTATTAACCTAACCATAGTAATTTTAATAGGGCACTGCTGAATGATCATATTATTTATTGTATTTTTTTTAATAAAATATTTCATGTGTAGTATTCGGGTAAACAAATAAATTACAAACTTTAAGATTAATGTAAATAAAATTCGTAAGCAGCTAGTGAAAAGAAAGAGAGGCTTGAAAGAGTAAGTGACACATGCTACAAAGTTAAGAGTAAGTTATTGCCAAGGCAAAGTCAGAGCACATAGGCAGAATTGGCGAAAAACTAGTTCGCCTTCCTTCGGGAACCCGTGCATTCTGGTCTCTCGCCAAGGCTGTTCAAGGGAATTTCTGTAAGCCATCACTACCATCTCTGCACAGGGAGGACGACTCACTGGCCCAAGCCGCAAAAGACAAAGCCGACCTTTTAGGCTCCTGCGTCCAACTCGACTCTTGATGATGGGGGGAAAATACCGCCGACCATCCCGCGGTGTGAGTGCTCCATGCCGGATGTGCTATTCTTACAGCGCTCAGTTCGCAAAGCACTTCTCTCCCTGGACATCCAGAAGTCGAGTGGGCCTGACGGAATCCCCCCAATTGTGCTGAGGACGTATGCTCCGGAGTTGGCACCGGTCCTAACGCGTCTTTTCCGGTACTCCTACTCCCAAGGCGTAGTCCCGAATTCATGGAAGACAGCTTTTGTCCACCCGATCCCTAAAAAAGGCGACCGCTCAGACCCGTCCAACTACAGGCCTATCGCGATCACCTCCTTGTTCTCCAAAATAATGGAATCCATTATTAACTGCCAGCTCATCCGGTACCTTGAGGATCACCAGCTGATTAGTGACCGCCAATACGGTTTTCGTCGGGGTCGATCAGCTGGTGATCTTCTGTTCTACCTGACGCATAGATGGGCGGAGGCAGTAGAGTCCAAAGGGGAGGCGTTGGCCGTTAGTCTGGACATTGCGAAGGCCTTCGATCGGGTTTGGCACAAAGCGCTTCTTTCGAAGCTCCCTTCCTATGGGCTTCCCGAGAAATTGTGCAATTGGATCACCAGCTTCCTTGCAGATCGGAGCATCAAGGTCGTTGTAGACGGTGCATGCTCTGACTACAAGCCTATTAACGCTGGTGTTCCACAAGGCTGTGTGCTATCACCAACGCTGTTTCTTCTGCATATCAATGATATTTTGCTAACTGGTAACATTCATTGCTATGCGGATGACAGCACTGGTGATGCTCTATACACCGGCCGTGCCAATATTTCTCGGGAAAACGTCGCTGAGTACCGGAACAAACTTGTGTCTGAAGTCGAGCCTTTGCTGAGCAAAGTCTCGGATTGGGGGCGACTAAATCTAGTCCAGTTTAATCCTCAGAAGACACAAGTTTGCGCGTTTACCGCTAAAAAGAACCCCTTTGTCGTTTCTCCTCAGTTTCAAGGCACTCCCCTTCTTGCCTCAGCCAGTATCGGTATCCTCGGAGTCGACATATCGAGTGACGTGCAGTTTCGTGGTCACTTGGAAGGGAAGGCCAAATTGGTCTCTAAAAAGCTTGGCGTGCTCAGCAGAGCGGGACAGTATTTCATGCCGGCACACAGCCTGCAACTTTACAAGGCGCAAGTTCGGCCTCACATGGAATACTGTTCCCATCTCTGGGCAGGGGCTCCCCAGTGCCAGCTCCTTCCACTTGACCGCATCCAACGCAGAGCTGCTCGAATCGTCGACGACCGAGCCCTTTCCGATCGGCTCGATTCATTGGCACTGCGAAGGGATGTTGCATCCCTTTGCATTTTCTTTCGTATCTACCATGGGGAGTGCTCTGAGGAATTGTTCGGATTAATCCCAGCCGCCAAATTTCACGAACGCACATCGCGGCAGAACTCCCGATACCATCCACACCATCTGGATGATTGGCGGTCCACCACTGTGCGATTTAGAAGATGTTTTCTTCCTCGCACGACCTTGTGGAATCTATTACCATCAGCGATTTTTCCGGACCGATACGACTTAGGGACCTTCAAGAAAAGAGCGTACTCCTTTTTAAAAGGCCGGCAACGCATCTGCGATTCCCCTGGTATTGCAGTTGTTCATGGGCGGCGGTAGTCACTTAACATCAGGTGAGCCGCATGCTCGTTTGCACCCTCTCATAAAAAAAATATTGCTTTTTTTGCCATCGAGTATAGGTATTAATATGAGTGTGTAAGTAATTAATATTCCCGAGCGCGAACTCCTGCATTTAAAGTATTCCAGATACAAGTGCAGTCAGTGACGTCACTAATGGAGGTGGAGGTCCTATTTACAGGACTTGGTTTTCAATTTTGCTATTTGAAAACAGTCGATGACTGCGCAGCTAAAGTTGCCAAAGAGCTGGGCGAAGGTACGTTACATACATTGGCACCACTGCATAAATTACATTATAGGATTGGATAGATGCCGGAAATAGATGGACGCAGGTGGCTAAGAGCCGTGGGACTTGGTTTTCAATTCTTCTATTTAAAAACAGTCAATGATGTCGTCAAAAGAACTGTTCAAAGGTACGTTACATACATTGGGACCACTGCATAAATTACATTATAGGATTGGATAGATGCAGGAAGTAGATGGACATAGGTATCTGAGAGTCGTAACTTGTGAATTTCTTTGAGGGAGGCCTATGTTTTAACTTACTGATGAAAATAGTGATTATTTACATTATTGAATAATTTTTTAATAGAATAAGCACACAGTCCACCTGATGGTAAGTGGATGCTGTGGCCTATAGATATCGATATTTTTCCTCAAGTAAGAATCAAAATGCAGATGCGTTGTCAACTCTGAGGAGTAAGATGGAATGCCTCGTTGCCACTAAAAAAGGTCTCCGGTTCTCTACACTCACTATACGAAACACAGCAGCATTATGCTCCTATTTTTCGCTGGTACTCTGTGAGGGAGTGGTCCTTCCCCGTTCGAGCAGACCTATTCATGCTAAAACCATAATATAGCTGCAGCGTGGCTCTAAAGGTTACCTTTGACCATTTTTCTGTCAACAATGTGTCAATGTTGCAACAAATCTACCATTGTTATCACCAATCCGCCAGCCAAGCAATCCAAAGAAGCATTAGTTTAGTTTCTGGAGCTTATTTCGCACTTGGGAGTCCGTCTGATTAGATTCCACCCTATTAGGTACCTATCTCTGCCCCAAAAAGTAGTACTTGCACTGATTTGTTCCAGTGTAAAGAGTAAAGAAAGAAAGATAATTACAGGCTTAAAGATATTTTATCTTATTCCTCCAAGGTGACAACACATCTATGTACTTTGTTTGAAGTCGGCTGAAGTTGTCCATGGACTGCACTAGCCACTAACCATCAGGTATAGTGTAAGTTCCTTTATCACTACAGTTTCATATAAATAGGAAAGACACTTGTCCATAAGAAGACTTGCTTATTATGGCAAATCATTTCTACACGAGTAGCTCATATCCAACAATAGAATATTACGGCCTGATAAATGAGGAGAATTAACAATACAAGTAAAGTTTTCCTATCATTTGGAAATTTAATTAAGGAAACCGAAAGATCTTTAGCGTACATTTGGTAAAACCTTGATAACATTTGAACAAAGCTACCTTGACACCTGGTTACCATAGCTGATTAAGAAAATACTAAAAATATAGCATGTCACGTTTGTTCAGTGTATTTGCTGACAAGTTTACATTGTTTTTTTCTTATCAAAATACTTTTAGTTCCTTTTTTTGGGTCTAATTTATTGTTTGTTCTTATATAAAAGCTGTATTACTTTTTTTCCAGCATCATTCTAGATTCAGTTTTCACTTCGTCACTTAAGACATCAAAACTCCAAACAAAATGGCAGTCAAGAGTTTTGCTCTCCTATGTTTGCAAGTCCTGCTCATCAAGGTAACATTGTTTATTAAAATGCAATGTAATATAAAATAAGTTTTTACGTGTCGCATTGCAATCAATTTTTTATAGAATAGGTAGGTGACAAACGAGCACACAGTCCACTTAATGACAAGACGATGCTGTGGCCTATAGAGTATAGACATCCCTATTAACATTTATCCTCGATTAAGCATCAAAATTCAGATGCGTTGTCATCTCTGAAGAGTAAGATGGAATGCCTTATTTCCAGTAAACAGGGTTTCCGGTTACGCTGTTTTGGCTTTTTTCTGTGACTAATATTTAACCATACTTTTTGTTCGAATAACAGTGACGCCCGAAATTTATCTAAGGGACAAATTAAACGATGCCGATACCACGGAGTGCCGCTCCTTAAAAATTTAACCGTATCGTTTGTCACAGGAATGTCGCAATGCAACAGAATTTCTTTACATATCTACAGAAGTTTTAGATTTAGGCCTAAGTGCTAAAACGTGACAGTGTACTCAACACGAGTTACAATGCCCCTGAGTGTCTCGCCGCACTTTGTCACGCCAGGTATAAGACGCTCGAACGGCAAGGCCTCCCATGCGCTTACACTAACATATTAGATTTTTAAATGAGTTATTTTTACAATATAAGGTTAATTAATCGCCTGGTCGAATTTTAACCACGCTAACTCTATTATTATTTAAATTAATTATTAAATTATTAGGTGTATTTTTAATTTAATTCAAATTTATATTAATTTTATGATTTATTAATTTTTATAAACAACTAGGATTAGATACCCTATTATTAAAAATTAGATTTATAATACTAAAATAGTAGGTAATGATTTATTCGTTTCGTTATTTTAGGTAATTGCTGCTTATCCGTGTAGTCCGTGTGCTGGTCTTCAATCTACCGGACTATGCACTCCCGAAGATCTCGCTGCCGCTTCTGGTGGTTTATTTATTGTAACTACTGGCTCCCCCATCGCTCCAACTGGAATATCAGTATATTCCGAGAATACTATTGAAGGCGTTCTATCCGTAGAAGGTACCCTACCATTCTTGGCCACTGTATGCTTAGAGGGCGAAGTACCAACTTATGGAACTGGAACTGTAGCTTACGGCTGTGGTAACGGTAATGTTGGTATGATTGCGTAAGAAATATCTCCAGTATGTTATGAGACTTAGGCTGTAGTGTCATATTCTAAGAGACTACTACATGAATTTACCCATTATCCAGATGAGACCTATAATTAAACTCTTAAAGAAAATAAAGTTGATTTTATTCTCTTTATCATTATTTATACAGTTTTTTTTTTTATATTATTACACAGTAATATTTTAGTACAAAGACGAACTTAATGCCATATAGCCACTTGTCAGCCAAGTTTGGTAGCGTGTGATGGTGGCTCCATGACGCCGAGGCTTAGCGTTACTGAGAGCCACGGGTTCGATGTCAAGTATTCGTATGCCCTACAAATAACTGTTGCCGTTTTGGATGTTTGTCCATATGAGATCTGTATATGTTAACTGCCTCCGCGATTTAAGAAAATGTTCTTGAATCGCGGAGGCGAGAGAGGCGTGTCAGGATCGCACCAAATGGAAATCCGTAGTCTCTGCCTACCCCTCTGGGTGACAGACGTGAGTATTTTTTTTTATTTTTTTTTATAGGATAAGGGTGACATACGAGCACACAGTCCACCTGATAGTAAGTGCTTGCTGCGGCCCATAGACATCTAATCTATCCTCTATTACAAATCAAAATGTAGATTTGAAATTGAAATTGATTGATGAAATTTAAGCTTGTCACGTGTTAGTAGAAGTAGAAGACCGAGCGGTAAATGGAGTATATTATCTAGAGAGGGCTATAGTTGTGTTTTATTCATAAATAAATCAATATTCAGTGGCTGATCCTTTGGTCGTAGTGCGGCGTTTTGTATGGTATATTCCGTCTCCTCGTTTTTTTTTTATAGGATAGGGTGACAAACGAGCACACAGTCCACCTGATGGTAAGTGGTTGCTGTGGCCCATAGACATCTACATCTATCCTCGTTTGCGAATCAAAATATAGATGCGTTGTCACCCGTGAGGACTAGGATGGAATGCCTCATTTCCAGTAAAAAGGGCCTCCGGCCACCTGCACTCACCAAGCGAAACGCAGAGGTAAACCTCTACTTCACGCTGGTATTCTGTGAGGACGTGGTACCACCCCGGTTCGAGCCGGCCCATCCGTGCGACAGCAAAAGCTGCCGCGTGGCTCTACCACTATTATTATATATAGAGTATTTGTGTTTGTGTGTGTTTTTTGTGTTCTTGTGTTACGTTTCTGAGAAATAACCTTGATAATGTAGTGAAAGGTATAAATAGAGTAGCAGCAAAAAAAATCGAACATGCACACAATATAGGATAATATGTGCAATAATTATATTAAAATATGGAAATGTGTGGTGTTATGCACTGGTCGTAAAAGCAGCATTTTTCTGATAACAAATTTAAAAAAAAAGCGGTTGCCAACCCGCCTGCCGAGCATGACAAAAAAGACAAAATCCAACCTATAAGACAATTTATGGGGGAGTCTAATATTAACTTATATGAATGAACGTATGGATTGATGCAATGAAATAACTAAAGGCTTTTCGGTGTTCGAACATTTACAGATAATACATGAGGCTATTGAAAATTAAAAAACATCCTAATTTCAATAGAGAATGCGGCTAAGTACTACCAAGGCGTACACGTATAGCGTCGGGTTATAAATAAACGATACAGGAGATGGCCAGCACCATCTTCCTGATAACAACTGAAATTAATAAAAAAAACTGCGGTTGTGAACCCGCCTACCAAGTAAGGCAGCTATGTAAAATATGCTCCCTATGAGGTAATCTATAAGAGAGGCCTATGTTCCACAATAGACTTTTGTTTGTATCAAGCTTAATGCTGCTGTGTTTCGTATGGTAAGCGTAGAGAACCGAAGACCCTTTTTACTGGAATCAAGGTATTAAATCTTAATCTTTAGGCGTGACAACGCATTGTGCATTTTGATTCTTAATCGAGGATCATTGTAGATGTCTATAGGCCACAGCAAATGTTTGTGAATATAAATAATCTACGATTACCGCCGTGAACAATGCAGCGCATCGGATCAGCATTTGTCCAGGTATTTGTTATGGGTCATGTGCAATTTGTGTACGTAAATGTGTCCACGTTGAGGAGGAAATTTCCAATATAGAGGGTGATTGTAACTTTTTCCGAGTTAGTTTCGTGAATGATAATATATTATAAATGGTTACTTGTTTAGTGGTCAAAGTATTATACTATTGCTACGTGGACTAGGATCAACATTTTTACGTGGTATTGACACACTGCAACGTATCGCGTGGTGATGGCGATAGACCTGTAGTTTTGACGGGTCTGAACGATCGCCTGTTGTAGGGATCGGGCGGACCAAAGCTGTCTTCTATGAATTCGGGACTACACCTTGGGAGTAGGAGTAGAAAAGACGCGTTAAAACCGGTGCCAACTCGGGAGCACACGTCTTCTGCTCGAATAGGTACAGCTCGACTGGGTATAGACCTCGCTCACCGAGATCAACAACGTGAAATAGCATCATAATACTGCTTGGTTTTTGTGATTTTGTGTGATAAGAACCTTTTTTTACAGGTAACGAGGCGTTCGATCTTAGTCTTTAAGGGTATTTTGATTTTTAATTGAGGATATAATAGGATGTCTGTTTACCGTGTTATGACGGTGTAAGAATATCCACTACCCCATGTGATGCCGTGGGTGTCGTAAGAGGCGACAGAGAGAAACAAGCCAGGAGATGGGCAGCAGCGTCTTCCTAATAACAAATAAATTCAAAAACTACGGTTGCCAATCCACCTGGCGAGCGTGGGAACTATGGCAAATATCCCCCTTTGAGGGAATCTGTGGAAGGGGCCTGCTTTTAGCAATAGTACTTGATAGGCTGTAACATTAACAGTAGATGTCTGTGACCACAGTACCCTACATCGTAAGGTAGACTGTGTGTTGGTTTGTCACATTATATAAAAAAATAAACCCTGCTGGAGCGACATTTGTACAAGATTTTTTTTATTCTTGAGAATGTTTGTTTTACGATAGTGACTACGTCTCGAAAATTCCCATATACTTGTACTTTCTCAGATTTTTAACTTGAGGAGATTGAGTGACCGGTCATATATGTAGCTATAACTGATAGGGAAGAAGGGTACTCAATTGGCAGCCTCGGAAGCTAAACGTAGGCCAGCCCTACACTAGATGAGGTGCCGAGCTAGTAAGGAAGTCGTTGGATGCGGGTGGCTCAGGACTGTGTTTTCAGGCGTTCCTTGGTATGGTCTATGTTCTTGGTACGGTCTGTATTCAGTCGACTTTTAATGATGATGAGGAGTAGTTACCGTATTCTACATTAAAACGCAACGCGCACGTTCATTGGCTAGAGTTATAACATGCATCGATCAAAACAGTAGTTAAAGTTGCTGCTTTGAGCGCCAGTAAAATTACTAAAGTTAGCCAAGGGACTAAGCGCCGTGGTAGCTCAGATGGTTAGCGCTCGTTGTAAATTTCACGGTACGCGAGCAACCCGGGTTCGATTCCCGCCGGCACCAATGAAATTGTTAATTGCAATTTTAAGTGCTGATTACCACGTACTCGGCGGTGAAGAAAAACATCGTGAGGAAACCTGCATGTCTGAAAAATAAGAAAAAAAAATCGAAGACATGTGAAGTTCGCCAACACGCATTGGCGTAGCGTGGCGGACATTTCCTTGCCCTAAAAAGCCCTCTCAGAAATGAAGGGAGGCCTGTGCTCAGCAGTGGGACGTATATAGGCAGTAATTTTATACGCGAGCTATCTAGATTCGCTTCTACCCAGCACCAATAAAATTGTTGTTTGTAATTTTAAGTACTGATTTACCGCGTGCTAGGTTGTGAAGGAGAAAATCGTTAGAAAACCTGTATGTCTGAAAAATAAAATACATCGGAAACGTGTAAAGTCTCATTAAGGCAACTCAGGCAACTCTTACTGGAACAACGCGGCAGACTAATTGCTCCATAATACTCTCGGTAATGGTAGGAGGCCTGTGCCCAACAGTGAGACGCATTCAAACGTAACTTTATTTTTTACTGTAAGTATTTTGTTACTAGTATTTTGTCTGTTTATAATTTTTTTGTAAATAGTTTGTATCATTCTATATTGCTTTATTTATTTAAAAAAAATCCCGCTGCGTTTCTTGCTGGTTCTTCCCAGGACAGAGGTTTTTTTCCTAACCAGTGGTAAAGTAAAAAAATAACTTTCAACAAGAATTGCATGTAATCATTATTGAAAAAAAATCTATTCTATTCGATTCTATACTCTGGGGGAGTCGTTTTTTATCAATAAATACGTAAAGAGTAATTATGATGATATATGACAATAGATCATATGCTTTAGAATGATAACTTACTCGATTTTTGTAACTAACATAAAGCGTTCAAATTAAGATTGATCTTTACACACATTATGTTCGATTAGAATGAATTAAAATGATTATTGATATCGTTATCTCTTCTTAAACATATCTTTGTTGCATTATACCGTACGTTTACAATCTAGTATTACCCAAATCATATACTTTTCCTGCATGTAATCACGTAGGTACTTTTATATTATGTAAACACATGTAATCTGTATGATATAAAACATTTAACATTGATCAAATGGTCAGTTTGGGTCGTGCTTCCTTTGAATTTTAATATTTAATATAGTAATCATGACTCGATACGAGTTGTTTTGTTTTCTGGCTTGCTTCCTTCAGGTAATGTCATCCCTTGAAATAACTTCTTTTTAAATATGTTAGAACCAGAGTAACTGCTCTAAAACCCTCTCACAATAGTGGAAGCTTGTTCCCAACATTAGGATTTATAGGCTGTAACTTTACTTATAAGTCTATGTGCAGCAATGCACTTGTGATGGGCGACAAAGATGATAATTATTATTATTATTTTGCACATAATACTAGATTTACTTTTATCAACATCTTCAATTTCAGAAATCCCTTTGCCAAGTTATAACGAACACACCATACTATGCAAATACTATTTCAACCAATGGTGTGGGTATATCAAGTAATGGAATTCCAGTAATGAATTCACTAGTTGGTACGAGCTCTATTGATGATGTCATAGGAAATGGAATGGTACCAAATAATATCGCAATAACAAGCGGTTTGCCTTCTGGACCAATTTATTCTGGAATAACAGGTGATGGACCTATAAATGCTGCAGCAGTAACAACTATGGCCGCAAATGCCGTCAATACTATGATAAATGGAGGAGGTAGTGGTTTAGAAGGATTCTCCCTCGGGGGTTTGCCTTACTCCGGTGTTTCTCCAATGGGATATGGAGACGTGGCTGTAGCTGGACAATTACCAGTTGGTGGATCCACAGCTGTAGTTGGCAACGTACCAGTGATTGGATATGTTACCTTTGAGGGGACAATACCAGCTGGAGGAACCGTCTCTCTAGCTAGTAATTGCGGCTGCTCTAATCCCACTATTTAATAGATTGTTATTTTTATAATGCTATTATTTTTGTCAACGTTGCTCACAGTATATAATATAATACATGCTTTACAATATCAGCGGTTGTAATAAGTTTCATGTTTCCTTAATTTATTTGTAGTTCTAAGCTTACTTATTTTCAATATTTATTGGTATTATTAGAGATCAATTTTTATTGTCATTATATAATCGTCAGTATTATATAGTACCTACATAAATTATATATAGTACTATATAGTACAATCATATGAGTGTGCAGTTTAAAAATTTATGTACAGATGTATGTTAAGAAAAGACATTTCAATATTTGTAACACAAATCGAAAAAAATTATGCATTTGATGGTTTGAGAGAGAGAGATAAAAAATAAACAAGTGAAATTTTCTGAAGGTTTTTTTTTATATACCACGTTTTTTTACTATATTCTTGCATTGTCGAATTTGAGCTATATTCAAAACAAGTCTCCAGCTCATTAGGAAATTCCACCCGGAATGTTACACACAAGGAAGTAACTTAGTAAAAACGTGTTATAATAGAACGGAATTATGTATAATCATCGTATATATTTTATTCGTTACACCCCAAATTACCGTCAAATTTCACGGTGCTCAAATTTTATATATGTGTCAACACTACTAGAATAAATAAGAGTTGTGTTTATTTATTTCTAGTTGTCAGTCTCGATCTTCTCGAACGAGTGAAAAATGAGTATTAAGACAATATTGAATAGCCACCAATGTCTCAGCTTAGCTGATATGTATGTAGGTGATTTATTTAGGCTGATATGAAATAATAATGAAAATACACAATTGCGTTCGTCAAATAGTTAAAGTTATATAAAAATTGTTAATCTTTTCTAAATCGCCTAATATCGAAAAAATTATAATAAGTACATAAGAATACATATTCTTGTGATACTGAGCTTTAGTACTCGTGTTTAATTTTATACTTAAGTACGTTTAAGTAGCTTGTTTAACCTCAGTAACCTTACTTACTCTTACCGTGTATTCACGATATAAAAAATCCATCTCCTTCCGTATGTATCGTTAAAGGTGACCATGGGTAATGCGAAACGACGGTATCTTCTATATACTAGTTTTAAAACGCTCAGACGTACAACAGAAAGCAGCATCATATGTACAAATTTTTAGTAATGCAATCCCTTCATGAATTTGAATGAATCTATATTCATTTCTGCAATGCCTAAGACAGGTGGCCGGACAAAGCACTAAAATGCAATGAGTATTCATGTATAACGAAAAGGAGCTGTATCAATTAGAAATATCAGGAATTTACTAATAATTGACATAATTTAAAAGCTACGGGCGGAAAGGAGACAAACATACATACAAGACTAATATAACGCCGCTTTTACTGCCCCAGTGAGTGACGGTGGATTTCGCTCTTTAGTTTTAATTTCGTTCAGTTATTAAATATTTTATATGTGTAAAGTAATTGGAAATTAGCGTCACCGGAAATTTTAGAGAGATTTTGACGACAGCTTAACTCAGCAGATAGTCGGTGACAATGGTACTGCAAGGAGCCAAAAATGAACATTATAACTTGAAGTTTACATCTTCGGAACACTCAAGTTTTCACTAATACATAGTTCACACTAGCAGACATTTAATATACACAATCACACCAATCCAGTTCTAATCTATATTTAATATATTTTTTTTTGTTTTTTTATTTTTGTTTAAACACGCTGATCGGACTGGACTACCAGTCCGATTTGAAAAATTATTTTTGTATATTATAGCCAGATTTATGAGTTATAGTATAGGATATGACGGCTCCGTGGCGTAGTGGCTTAGCAATGAGTTGCAACGCTTGAGGTCGCGGGTTCGATTACCGCACTGAACAAGTATTTGTCTGGCCTACAAGTAATTCTTCCGGATCTGGATGTTTGTCCTTGTGCAATATATGTTTGTAAACTGCCTCCACGATACAGGGGAAAATCCTAATGTGGGTGATTGTTAAAAAAAAGAGATATCTAGAATTATGATACACCTCTCAGCTAGCCTTAAATATTGATTTTTGTTAAGCGAGTCAGAAGAAAAAGTGCTCCCGAAATGGTTTATGCGCTAGTGTAATGTTTAGTGACACGTAAATACTATGTTCTACGAAAATATTGATCTTTACTCCATCTAAACAAACGTCCGCGATATCATATGCCTGTTTCTTATACAAAAGATACAATAAAGTATTTTGTGACAAAAAATATTGAAAATTAAAAAGTGATTTAGAAGCATTATTAATATGCATGGTATATTAATACTTACGAACGTAAGTTACTTCATCATCAAGACATTTTTATGAAGATAAGATTTGTACTTTATACCATGTTATTTGGACGCATAAGTTAACAGGTAATGAAAAATTAAAATAACTCAACACTCCACTCGGCGCACAAACGACGCATAAACTCTAGCCGCCCGATGAGAACCGAGAGAAACCAGCAGTGAGCGAAGTTAATTCAATCATTTTAGTTAAAGTATTGGCATAATTAATGGAAAGTAATTTTATCTAACGGCATATGAACTCTATAGAGCGAAGTTAAATTTTATTCTCAAAAACTTCTCACTATACCGCCAAGATAAGTATGATAAAAATTAATAAGAGAAGTTGTCATGGCACAGTGGTGCAGGGGCTGCAAAGAATCTCCGGGAGAGGACAGGTTACTACCAAAAACTGGACTTGGCGACGAATAATGGACGGACTCTGCGGCAAGACGGAAACGTTTGCGAACTGAAAGCTGAGCTGGAAAATATAAGATGGCATATTGTAGGGTTGAAGTTCGAAGAAAGGGGGAGGACACACTTACCCTGCAATGGGGCCACCTACTCTACTTTCGGAAGGGATACGGCCTTTCCCAAGGGCGGAGTAGGTTTCCTCATTCACAGTATCCTCACTAACAACACTGTAGAAATCTCCAATGTGGCGACACGGGTAGTATACCTTGTACTGGAGTTATCAGAGATACTCTCTGAAAATCGTACAAGTTTGTGCCCCGAACTCGGTACATTCAGATGATGAAGTTGAAACTGTTTATGAAAACATTTTTAGGGCCTCATATAACACCACTACAATATTGTTATAGGGAATGGTAATGGATGGCCAAATTGGGCAAACACACGGGCGTCGAGTTGATTTTGGGACTCGTTTTTTTTTTGGAGCGGAAATTACAGGGGTTGCCCCCTGCTGCTGCATGCTGGTCAACTTTCTCAAGAAAGAGGGGCTAATTATGATGAATTCGTTTTTCGAGAAGAAGCCCCAAAGGAAGTGGACGGGGCTCAGTCCCGAAAACATTACTAAAAACGAGATTAACTTCATCATCACGGACAAAAGGCACATATTCAGAGATGCAAATAATACAGAAGACAACAGAGTATAATCAGCCCCTATGTCTTGCATTTGTGGACTATGACTATTCCTTGTGGAATCGATTCGATCAGCGATTTTTCCGGACCGATACGACTTAGGGACCTCCAAGAAAAGAGCGTACTCCTTTTTAAAAGGCCGGCAACGCATCTGCGATTCCCTCCCTGGTGTTGCAGCTGTTCATGGGCGGCGGTAGTCACTTACAATCAGGTGAGCCGCATGCTCGTTTACCCCCTCTCCTATAAAAAAAAACTATGAGAAAGCCTTTGACTCCATCGAAACTTTGGCTGTTTTGGATTCTTTGCAGCGGTGCCAAATTGACTGGTGGTACATCGAAAAGCTGAGATGTCTTTACAACACCAGTACGATATCTGTCCAAGTACAGGGCAGTTATACAAAACCAATCCACTTGTATCGCGGAATGAGACAGGGGGATGTTATATCTTCTAAACAACAAATGCACTGGAGAATGTCTTTAAGACGCTAGACTGGAAAGGACGCGGCATTAACGTTAACGGTGAGCACATCTCACACTTACGCTTTGCTGATTATATAGTCGTCATGGCAGAATGGCAGAACTTCAGGACATGCTGAATAGACTGAATGAATCCTCCCATCGTGTTGGTCTGTGTATGAATCTCAACAAGGCAAAAGTTATGTTCAACGAACACGTCATGCAGGTCCAATTACTGTTAATGGTGAAATTCTCGAAGTTGTCCAGGAATAAACCTACCTCGGGCAGATATTTCAACTAGGTAAGAATACTTTCTAGAAGAAAACTGATCGGAGGATTCAGTTAGGCTGGGCAGCATTTAGAAAGCCCCGTCGGGTTTTCTAGTCGCCCATACCGCAAAGTCTGAAGCAAAAGTCTTCAACCAGTGCGTCCTCCCGTACTCACTTACGGTGCCAAAACGTGGACACAGACAATACGGCTACTCCAATCTCCTGGCACTCAAGGCATCGATCTCCAAGTACTGGTAGATGCTTTGGAAGTTGGTGGAACCGTAGCTCTAAATGGTAGAATACCAATTTCCGGCATGGTTGGTATAAATGGAAATATATCAACTGATGGCATAGCTTCAGTCAGCTATAACTGTGCCAACACTAGTACTCTTTTATAACGAAGGTTGTTGCTTTTTTTCTTTATATATTAAACACTTTTTATATATACTTTTTTTATATAGGTTTTAAGGCATTAAAAAATATGGAAGAAAATTTTTACCCTTTATGTTATTTGTTAAAGTCATTTGACAACCAATATCATTGACCTACAACTAAATTTTATACTATCATTGACTACTAACGTTTACGATGTTGAACATCGATCTGCTACTAAAGTTTAGTAGTACGTCAATGACCAACATCGTACATTTTTGGTAAAGAATAGAATAGAATAATTTTTTATTCAATATTAATTACAAGTAATTCTTACTGAAAGTCATTTTTACTTTACCACTGGTTCGAAAAAACTCCTCTGTCCTGGGAAGAAACAGCAAAAAACCCAGCGGGACTTTTTTTAAATAAATTTTACAATGTATATGATTAGAAATTATTTACAAAATTTATTTTAAAAACAGCTTGGAAGCGACCTCCTCATTCCCAGGGGTTATTATCAAC